CCAGTGCGGCCAGCGCTCGGGGGCCGAGGGGACCTGCGGGGCGCCGCGGGAGCCGCCGAGCGCAGGGAGGCCGGCGGGCATCTGCAGTGCGGAGCCAGCACGGCTGAGGCAGGAGAAGGCTCGGGGCGGGGAGAGAGGGCGGGAGCGCCGCCTTCGTCTCCCTCGCCCGCCTCCAATCCCGGCTTCGCCGCGCAGGCGGGGCGGCCCTAGCTCTGCGCGCCCGGCCGGCTCCCCGCACCTGCGCCCCGAGGCCGCGGAGCCTGGGAGCCCGGCAGCGGGCGGATGATCTCCGCGCTTCTCCCAAGATCTGGGAGGGGCTGGAGGGGACACCGAAGGGAGCAAGCCTCAGGTGCACAACACCAGCGAGATGCAAGTGCCCACCTCAGCCGAGAAGCCTCGGAAGGGACCGGCAGCCAAGCGCAGGGCGAATCTGACGGCACGGCACAGAAGATGGCACGTGCTGAAGCACAAGCTTTATCCCAAATTGCTTTACACTCTTTCCTGGCAGCTTAGAGAGGCGTGGAAAGCATGTGTTTTTTTTTTTAAAGGGGGGGAGGGTTGTTTCTCTTGGAAAAATGGGTTCCAAGAAAAAGAGTTCTAGAGGGCTGGTGGCTGGTTAGTTCAGTCGCTTAGAGCTCAGCCTTACAACACCAGCATCACGGGACTAGCCACAAAATAAAGAAAAAAGAGTTCCCATTTAAAAGCAATTTTTTTTAAAAAAGTGTTTCTTCATCTCTCCAGCCTACTTCAGTAGTTCTGAACTATTAGCCATCATTACCATTCAAAAAAAAAAGACCTTTTCCATCTAAGACATTCACCAGTGGAGTATTTACCATAAAAATGAATGAGAAAGGAAAGGGTGTGGGGGAATATAATATTTGCATTTGCTAACTCAGAAAAAGAAACTCTAGATGGATAAACAAACTAATTTTTAAAAAATTTATGGGGGAGGGAACCGTATGGAGGACAGGAGAATGGAAACCTGAGACTTCTCTAGATGTGCCTTATGGTTTTGACTCTGGAATAACATATTTTC